TTTCACCATGTTGGTCAGGCTGGTCTTGAATTCCTGACCTCGTGATCCACCCACCTTGGCCTCCCGAAGTACTGGGATTACAGGTGTGAGCCACCGCGCCAGGCCCAACATCTCATAATGTTTTAAAAGCGCTTATGAATTTGTGTTGGACTACATTGAGAGCCGTCCTGGGCCACATGTTGGACATGCTTGGCTTAAGCTTTCACAGTCCCATAGAGGGTCCAGGTCAGAATTGCAGATTCCCATCAGGCCTTAGCTTAGATAGTAAAACTGACTGAAACAAGCAAGCTTCTTCCTTAAACAAATGTTAGCATAAGAGACAGGAAATTATAAAATGGAAAGCGCCTTAGTCTGGGAGACAGAAGGTCTGGCCTCTGGTCCACATGCACTCATCTGTTCCCTGGGAAACCTCTGCCCGCCCCTTCCTGCTTAGGATGTCAGCCCTAAGTGTGGCAGTCGAATGAGACAACATTTGGTTCATGAGCTTGAACAGAATTGTTCCTTCTTTCCCCCCACACCATTTTTTCTTTTCATTTTTGAAAATAAATTTAGGTCATGCTGTCTACTTGGAACCCGATAATATATCAAACCTACAAAAACAAAACAAAATTCAAGCTCATCGGCTTTCTGCAGTAAACTTGGAAGCTAGCTCTTGCCCTTGCATTTAGATGCAATGTATCTCGGGGAGACCATGCTGTGTGTGCTGGCATGCCTGTAGCCTGTTCATTATGAATCTTTAATGAGGTCATCCAAAATTTCATGTCTGCTTTAGCCGAGGGCCATTTTTGATGGCTCCCTGGCACTTTTTTAGGGAGGGAAGCATATTAAAACAAAGAATAAATATGTCCTTTTGCGGGGCAGGCAGCAGGTTCTGTAAATAGAGGAGCCATTAAACAAGACAGCTAGCAACTGGGTGGGTTTAAGTGCTTTTCCCTCCTTACTGGGAAAATACTATACTAGGATGCACGATCTGCTTTCTGTTAGTGTAAAAGAATGAAAGGATTCTCTCTCTCTCTCTCTCTTTTTTTTTTTGAGGCAGAGTCTTACTCTGTCACCCAGAGCCAGAGTGCAATGGTGCAATCTTGGCTCACTGCAACCTCCGCTTCCCAGATTCAAGCAATTCTCCTGCCTCAGCTTTTCAAGTAGCTGAGATTTCAGGCACCTACTACCACCACACTCTGCTAATTTTTATATTTTTAGTAGAGACGGGGTTTCACCATATTGGCCAGGCTGGTCTTTAACTCTTGACCTTGTGATCCGCCCTCCTCAGTCTCCCAAAGTGCTGGGATTACAGGCGTGAGCCACCACGCCTGGCCATCTTTCTCATTTTAATCACATGTTAGAGGTCTTGTCTTATTCCCTTGTTCTCCTTCTACAGTAGAATTGGCATATGCTGTAGGAAGAGAGCATAGAAAGATGTTTTTTCATGTCTCAAATAGCCTAGAGGGTAATTTTCACAATTTTCACTTGTCTTTACATTTTCTTGTTTTCTTTTGAATCAACTTGAGACATGCTACTTTGTTTTTTCTTAAAAGATCTTTAGAGTTCTAAGTACACAATACTCTTAGACAAATATAATGTGATATGCATTTGGAATTCAAAAATGGACAATACGCTTCTGATTGTTAATGCATTTACAATTCAAGCTGGGGCCTTTTTCATCTAATGCTGGCTCGCTTACTGTTCTAGAGCTGTCCAGTCACTTTAAGAAACCATCTTTCTTTTCTTTTTTTTTTTTTTTTGAGACTGAATCTTGCTCTGTGGCCCAGGCCAGAGTGCAGTCGCATAATCTCGGCTCACTGCAAGCTCCGCCTCCTGGGTTCAGGAGGTGGGGTTTCACCATGTTAGCCAGGATGGTCTCCATCTCCTGACCTCGTGATCTGCCCGCCTCAGCCTCCCAAAGTGCTGGGATTACAGGTGTGAGCCACCGCGCCTGGCCACGAAACCATCTTTCTAGCAAGCATAGAAGAGGAACTTCCCTTTCATAATGTGGGTTTTCTTTTTTGTCTAGACAGCACCACGTAGCTCTCCCTAAAACAGTGTGATGAATCAGTATAGGTAATACACAAAATATTCTTCCGCAGCAATGAGATGTTCCTAATGGGCATGATTCCAAGATTCTCTGTGACTCATGCAGGCTTTTAGGCACTGAGTACATCATGGCAAAGACACTTCAGAACAGAGTAGGTTATGACTAAGGTTTGCTTTAAAAAAAGAGCATTCAGTTAATATCCTGAGGCCCCTATGTGTTGTTCTAGAGGTCTCTGTAATTGTTTAGTTGCATCAGACACCAAAGGGAAGTTGTATTGTTCACCAACTTTGAAAAGCCAGCTCTCGCCTTGTCTTCCATCACCGTGAGTGTGACTGTTCCTTGAGTGATACAGATTTGCCCATGAATCTTTTGTTCTAGAGGCTTGTTAGATGGTCTTGTTGAATTATGTCCTCAATGACCATTCTTGGTTTTGTAAAACATTTTATAAACCAAGTCATTGGTTTCGTTTTAGACAGCAATGCTGGCTGATGTGCTTGAAAATAATACATTTCAAAAAGGTTGTAAGGAAAAAGGTGACTTTGCAGTTTCCGGAGTCTTCTTATAAATAGAATGGTAAATATTTTCCTTTGTTCAGTCTTTCCTGCAGGGGAATTTGTTTCTGAAAAAGTGCTCCACGTGCAAATTTTCATAACGGAAATATAATTACCATTGAAATTAATGGTACATGATTACTTAGTTATTAAAACATACCATATTCAAGGATCATGTAAATGAATATTTAATTAAAAAAATGGAACTCTAACAGCTATAAAGAAATCACTGATAACTGTGTAAACGATGCTGGAGGTTATCTCTGCTGTAAACAAGCTGATTTTGAGCACTCTGAGAACTTGGTGCCAGACAGTCATGTGGGCAAACCACACTGCAAAGCTGTCTTTTTATTTATGAGCTTTCTGAAATGTTTCATTTTCAAACATATCTAGCTAGGCATAGGTGAGGATGACCCCCTGATGCTCTGTTACTGGGTGAATATACTGAATCCAAATTGATCATCTCAGGATAAGAATTGCTGTGAAGCCAACGTGGGGCTAGTAAATAAAATATCTCAAAGTCTAATTCTCCTAATCTATATGAGTGTGTTTGAGGGAATGACTTAATTAAATACTGACTAGATAAATCAAGTAGATTTGTACGCGATAGACATTGATAAGTCATTAAGTGACATGACTTCACAAGTTAAAGGTTAATGGTCAGAAGAGACTCTTTTTACTTTCTGAAGAATATATATCAGGTTAGTTGGATTTTCCATGGTTTTAAAATGATTTCTTACAAAATGGGATTATAATTGTTTGAAAGATGGTAGACTGCAGTGTCCACGTGAGGGTTGTCTTTTTAAGTAGTTCCCTTAGGAGACCACGGGCTTTCTCAGCGTTCTGGGATGCATTAATCAGTGTTGGAAATGTATTAATTGATTTATTAATTTTTTTGTAAGAGAAAGGGGCTCACTATGTTACCCAGGCTGGAGTGCAGTGGTTATTCTAGGGTGTGATCAGAACACATTTCAGTTGCGAGCTCCTGGGCTCAAGCAATCCTCCTACCTCCGTTTCCTCAGTAGCTGGGACTGCAGGTACATGCCCCCTTGCCCAGCTGGCAGTTTATTTCTGAATTTCCTTTATGATAATTTATAAGCCTCTTATAGGTTAAGAAACATGTAACTAACTTAGTTTTGTTACTTTTAACAGGCAATTGTTTTTGTAATATTCTTTTATAAATTGAAGTATAACATACAGATAGAAAAGCACACAAATCAAAGATGTGTAATTCAGTGAATTTTTATAAAGTAAATACAACTGTGCAGCCAGTGTCAAGATTAAGAAATGGAGCATTTCCGGCCAGGCGCGGTGGCTCACGCCCGTAATCCCAGCACTTTGGGAGGCCGAGGTGGGTGGAGCACTCGAGGTCAGGAGTCCAAGACCAGCCCGGCCAACATGACGAAACCCTCTCTCTACTGCAAATACAAAAATTAGCTAGGCATGGTGGTGCGTGCCTGTAGTCTCAGTTACTCGGGAGGCTAAGGCATGAGAATTGCTTGAACTTGGGAGGCGGAGGTTGCAGTGAGCCAAGATTGTGCCACTGCACTCCAGCCTGGGGGAAAGAGTGAGACTCTGTCTCCCCCAAAAAAAAAGAAATGGGGCATTTCCATTGCCTCATAGTCCTATTTTGTGTCTGCCTCAAGGTAACCATCATCCTGACTTCTGACACCATAGTTTAATTTTGAACAAGCAGGTAATTTTTGATGGCAAAGTGATGTTACCCAATTTGATTCCCCATTATTTTCCTAAGACTTGTCTCTCTGACTGATGAATGTTCATAAAGTTAAATCACCTTTAAGAAATAATGATTTGGCCGGGCGCGTTGGCTCATTCCTGTAATCCCAGCACTTTGGGAGGCCGAGGTGGGTGGATCATGAGGTCAGGAGATCGAGACCATCCTGGCTAACACGGTGAAACCCCATCTCTACTAAAAATACAAAAAATTAGACGGGGGGTGGTGGCGGGCGCCTGTTGTCCCAGCTACTCGGGAAGCTGAGGCAGGAAAATGGCGTGAACCCGGGAGGTGGAACTTGCAGTGAGCCGAGATTGCGCCACTGCACTTCATTCAGCCTAGGTGACAGAGCAAGACTCTGTCTCAAAAAAAAGAAAAATAAATAATAATAATAATGATTTGCCACTATCGAGGATGGTGAAGTTGCATGGGAGATTTTAGGGAGATGACAACTCACTAATTGTATTTCAGAATTACGTTAAGGAAGGATTTGTTTCTTGATCGTGTATAACACCATAAACGTTTATTTCTCTGCTTTAGTGACTTCTCTATGATGTTTAACAAGTTCCATGATGTGGGCTCTGGTTCTTAATCAGTTTTTAATGAAAAACAACTGTGGTAGTATACTGTTCCTAGTTGTGGTCTAATTTCCTTCCTATTTGAATAGTTTTTTAAAGTGTATTTTGAGGGGAAAAATACATTAATACTCCTCCTCTACTATATGATTAGCTTTTTAAAATATTTTGAAATAGATGATGATGAAGAATTTCTCCAAGCACAATATACATTTTCTTGTGGGGGTAGCTGGAAGGTTTAATTAAAGACACAGGAGAAGAAAGAGTGGGCCAACCATCAGGCGCCTGTACCTGCTCAGAGGCCTCTCATAATTCCTGTTCGCTTCCCTGGACCTTTTTTTTTAAATAGACTTAATATTTTTTTAGAGTAGTTTTAGGTTTATAGGAAAATTGGGTGAAAAGTACAGAGTTTCCATATTAGCTTTCACTGTCCCCCACCCCACAGTTTCTCCGATTTTTAACATATCTTGCATTACCGAGGGTTCATTCATTATAATTGATGAGCCAATATTTGTACATTAATATTAACTAAAGTTCATGGCTTACATTTGGGTTCACTGTTGGTGTTCTATATTCTGTGGGTTGTGACAGATGCTTAATGTCATGTGCCCATCATTATGGTATCATACAGAATAGTTTCACTGCCCTAAAAATCCCCATGCTCTGCCTGTTCTCCCACCTCCTCCCTAATCCTTGATCATTTTGCTCTCTCCATAGTTTTGCCTTTTCCAGCATGTCATGTGGTTGGAATCACACAGTAGCCTTTTCAGACTGGCTATTTTTGCTTAGCAATATGCACTTAAGGTTTTTCCATGTCTCTTTATGGCTTGATAGCTCATTTCTCATTGCTGAATAATATTGCGTTTTATGGATGCACTACAGTTTCTTTACATTTGCCAATTGATGCCCATCTTAGTTGCTTCCAAGTTTTGATAATTGTGAATAAAGATGCTGTAAACATGAGATCGTAGGTTTTTGTGTGAATATAAGTTTTCAGCTCATTTGGGTAAACACCAAGGAGTGCAGTTGCTGGGTCATGTGGTCAGAATGTGTTTAGTTTTACAAGAAACTGCCGGCCTGTTTTCCAAAGCGGCTATACTGTTTTGCATCCCCACCAACCATAAATGGGAGTTCTTGTTGTTTTGTGGACATTTGGACTTAGTGTATCCGTAACTCTTTGATCTAGCAGTGTTAAGTTGGGATTGTGGTATTATTGCCACTTTCCTTTTTGAGAATCTAATGCTCACTTTCTCTAGAGAAATCCACTTGTTGCATGTAACTTGTAAAATTTTATAATATTGAGGTTCATGGCCTGGAGTCCAGGTTGAGAGTGTCTGCTTTAGCCTCTAAAATATTTAATATCTCAGTCCAAAATCTGAAAGAACAGGAAGTCCTCGATGGAAACAAACCCTTCTAATCATTAACTATCTTTTCCTTACGTGACAAGAACAACTTACCTTTTATCTTGTTCATTAAGAAAGGACTGGGTTTCTTTAAGAAAGGACTGTCAGAAAGTCTGGGTTAGACGTGCAGGGTAAAGTCGCTTTCTTAGTTAGCTGGGGAAGAAGTGACCAAGAGTGGTGTTGACCCAGACTCAGATCCTTGTGTAGTCGATCCATTTATGTCACTGAATTTGTTTTAAAGAACAGGCTGGAAGTTTGAAGTAGGGAGAGAGGAGGAACGGGCAATGGATATTTGTCAATATAAAAAAAGATGTATTTTCAAAATTTATAGACTAAAAACTGTGTATCCCAAAGCAATTCATTTTACTTTGTTTATATACAGATAAAATAATACATTAAATTAGGTGGACTTTTAAAAAATGCACTCTGGCATTTCAAATCCAAGGCATTTGGGGGCAGGAGGAGACCGTGGAGTTTCCTCTGCGCACCATCCTCACTTCAGCAGACAGGGAAGCTAGGATTAAGGGGCTTGGCTTTGGTCACACTTCTAGGCAGCAGCCAGAACCTACATATCCTGACTTTGGTCCAGTGTGCGGTGCCACAACCCTGTCTAAAAGTTAAAAGGTGTAGAGAGAATTTTTTTTAAAGAAAGAAGAAAGAAATGTAGTACACGCCATGAAATCTTGTATGGAAGGACGTGCCCCATGGGGATTCCACAGAGTGCTTCACGGTGAACACATTCAACATAGGGAAATTATGACATTGAATCCCGTTGCTGTTTTCCTTGCCCATTCCCTAAGGGTTTGTCTATATTTGGTCATTATGGTCCCTGACCTCTGGGTATTTACATGGATTTTGTGTTTTTCCTCGAGTTTTAAAAACTATTTATCTGTTAAACATTTTGACTCTGTCTCTATCTGATATTAAGGATTCATTTTAGGTAATTGGACAGCAGAGATCACAAGCTGAATCTGACCGTCCGGCTCCACTGTTCCTTTTTAAAAATTACCTCTACTTTTAGGATCATTGGTGCCCCCTAGTGAGATAACTGAGTAAAAGCACTAGTTTAGTGAATGGAAGCTGTTAGCGTTTAAAAAGAGACGGCTTAGCAATGTTGTTGACCATTAAAAATCCTGTTTCTGATTTTTGTTTTAAAGAAATTGAGACCAAGAAATGAACAGCGAGAGAATGAATTGATTATTTCTTTTCTGAGATGTTTATATGAAGAGAAACAGAAAGAACACATCCATATTGGGGAGATGAAGCAGGTATGGCATTTTTGTCTCTTGTAATTATTGCCAAGTCTCTTTATAGACAATGTTTTGAGGATTTTCTGAAACTCTGATACCTCTTTTTCTCTCTCTGTTTTATTTTCCTTTGTTGCACATGGAGGGGAGATTTGGGGGTGTTAGATTATGCATGCTTGAGAAGATAGGAAAAGTTTCTGTCTGCACCATAGCGGAGTTGGAACAGCTGCTCTAATAAGAGGACTGGCTTAGAGCAGCAAGAATTGAGTGTAAGAGTGGATGCCACCAAGATGAGCTGCTTGGCTTGCAGGGAGCTGGTCTGTCACCTCGCCTTTCTTCTCTGTAAACCTGGACAGACATTGCATGGCTGCCTTTGGAATTACAAAAAGTACCTGAACGTCCTTTGTGATACAAATGCTAGGTCACAAATCAGATACAATGTTGGCAAGCCTGACTTATGTGCTCTTCAGGTTAGAACTTGGATTAATTCCATTTTGCATGATGGAAATACAGAGTCTCCCTCCCCTCCTCCACTGTCTACAGTATTATTTAACTTTTCTCTTTGTGGGGTCTCAAGGTAGAAGCTGAGGCTCTCTGCAGATCTCTCCCTTGGAAGATCTTCCCGTTTGGGAGTCCCTATGTTATGTGGTACCACAGACCATTTCCTTTGTCTTTTGGACTCCGTGTGAGTCCATTCATAATGAACCATTAATAGCTTCAAAACATACACGTTTTATGTTTGCTAAAGTTACGTGTTGGCCAAAAATCTAGGGAAAAATCAGTGAAGGATGTACAAGTTTCTCAGTTTCCCAGAAGTGTGTCCCCTTTTCTTTTTGAACACTCCCCGCATGCGTGTGCCAAAGACTCTTCTGTGCTCAGCGGTGTGCCCTGTCCCACGGCAGCCTTTGCGTCTGGACCCTAAACCAAGTGTACAGTTTTCATGGGGTGTACACTTAGCAAATCTCCTCATTAGGTTTCTACCTTCCGATGGCTTAGGCAAACGCATGCCTTCCCTGAACCCTTGGGCTGGTGTACAGTGTCAGCCATTGTTTCTAATCTCATTGGCCAGCCATGGGGTCCTTTAGCAGTGACTCTAACATGAGTATATGACCTGTGTTTTTTTTATTTTTGACTTTTGGTCTTGATGTGTAGCCATTCCTCCCTTCCCAGCCTGTACCCTTAAGATAGCATTCAAGTTCTGTGTCTCTCCTGTTCACTTTTGGATAGACCACACAGTCTAAGTTTTCAGTTAATTCTCGAGTTCATTTTTCGCCTATATCTTTTCTCTTTTCCACTCCCTTTTTCCCCTCTTGTGCCACTGATTTTTTTCCCTGTTCCGACTGTCTTTTATCTGAGTCAGTCTGACGTGTTCCAACAGAAAATTGATAATTTTGGAGTAATTTATAACTGCTAGAAAGGGGAATGAAGCATTTACGGTGGATAGAAAGTCTTCTTTTACTAAACATGTTGAGCATTTGTGGTGAATGGAAAGTTTTGACCTAACTGCAGACTCATTTTTATGGACCAGGATATTTTTATGGTTTGAGCATAGATCATCCAATAGAGAAATGTGTTTAATGTTCCCCACCCCCCCGCCAAAGTATAAGAGTTCAGTGTAGAAGCCTTACAAGCAGAACTGGCGTCTGTGCAACACTTTTACTAGGGGTTTCTAAACATCATGACCCAGAAGGCTCATGTCTTCGTCTATAAAGAAGCTGCCCTAATCCCCTGATGAGGCTGGTGTACTCCAGGCTGGACACTCTCGTGGGCTCTGAGGAGTGGGCTTCTCAGAGCAGCAGCTGCTTTATAGACCCGTTAGGCACAGCCTTGAGGTTCACTGATAGATTCTTTGCATGTTTTCTGCTATCAGTTTAGCCACATGGATTTCATTACCTTCTTGTTGCACCTAAAAATTTCTAAAGCTTTTGAAAATGTGGGAAGATGTGACCTAGACCGTGGTAGGATCATGACTTTGACAAAGACTTCTCTGGCCACAGGACTTCAAAAGTGGACAGAGGACAGCGAGCACTCCTCTCCGTGCTCAGGGTCGGCAGGGAGGCCATATGTGCTTTTCAAAGACCAAAAGAATAGTGTCTGATACTGTCAGAGGAGTTGCGAAATAGAAAAAACCCTGAATGAGTCTTTTGATCTTACAGAACAGGGTTCAGTTTGGGCAAGACTTATACATGAAGTTAGAGACTGTCACGTTTTAGTCAGTGGACTTGTCGTTTCCACCTGTATTCACAGAGGTGGTACAAAAATTAGTATGAAATCAGCTGTCACTTACTGAATGTTTACCAAGTGCCAGATACAGTTCTCATTCCTTATGTAAATGACTCCATTCATTCTACAGGATTTTTGAGGTAGGTGGTAAAATACCCATTTTATAGATGAGGAAATGGGGAAGAGCAGTCAAGTAGTTAGCTAGTGAGTAGTGGAGCCACTTTGACATCTAAGTACTTTATCTTATTATTATTTTTTTAAGGAGCTTAACAAAATTTAATGCTATATAACTACTTACTGATTTCCTTGGGTCTGTTTTCTAGCAGATAAGATTTTCTTTCTTTTTTTTGTGACATTTTATTATGAAACATTTCAAACATATAGAGAAGTTGAAAGAATTATACTATGAGCACTCATATACCCACCATCCAGATTTTACAGTTTTAAACATTTTGTTAATTTGGTTTATCATATATCTATTAGTCCACCTTATTTTTCCATGCCTTTCAAATTAAGTGATATCAATACCCTTCATCCCTAAACACTTTAGCATGCATATCATTAACTAGAATTTAGTGTTTGTTTCCAGTTTGGGGGAGATGAAATTTACATTTGGTAGGTTATGCAAATCTTAAGTGTACTATTTGTTGAGTTTTGATGACTGCTACTACATTCAGGTAGCTCAAACCACTATCAAGATATAGAATATTTTCATCCTGCCGTGCGCGGTGGCTCATGCCTGTAATCCCAGCACTTTGGGAGGCGGAGCCGGGCGGATCAGGAGGTCAGGAGATCGAGACCATCCTGGCTTAACACGGTGAAATCCCGTCTCCTCTAAAAATACAAAAATTAGCTAGGCGTGGTGGCGGGCGCCTGTAGTCCCAGCTACTCGGGAGGCTGAGGCAGGAGAACGGCGTGATCCCGGGGAGCGGAGGTTGCAGTGAACCGAGATCGCACCACTGCACTCCAGCCTGGGTGACAGACTCTGTCTCCAAAAAAAAAAAAAAAAATTTTTTCATCCTACCAGAAAGTAGCCCTATATGCCTCTTCTAGTCAGTCCTTACTACCCCTTCCCCCAGGTAACCACTGGTTTGATTTTTTTTCACCTTAGATTAGTTTTGCCAGTTCTAGAATTTCTTATAAATGGCATGATACTCTTTTGAGTTCTGGCTCCTTCTGCTTAGCATAACATTTCTGAGACTCATCAGAAACATTATGCTACATTGTTGCATGGATCAGTTGCTTGTATCAGTAGTTTGTTCCTTTTTGTTCTGTGGTATTAATGTCAAGAGTTTCTTTCTCCATTCTCCTTCTGAGCTGCTTGATTATGAATAAGGCTGCTGGTAGATACATTGTGCCAGCCGGGGATGGTGGGTTCTGAACTGAGAATTTCAGTGTAGCATCAGGATTTAAAACTTGAATCCAAACTTTCATGCCTAGCGTTCACCCATCTGTCGAAGGACGTGCAATATAATGACTGCAATTGAATTCACTGTGGAGCCTCCAAATTAGAAATTATTGTCTACAAGGGCCAGGCACAGTGGCTCACGCCTGTAATCCCAGCACTTTGTGAGGCTGAGATGGGAGGATTGCTTGAGGCCAAGAGTTTGAGACCAGCATGGTCAATATAGCGATACTCCATCTGTTTTTTTTTTTTTTTTTTTAAAGAAATTACTCTTAAGAACCAGCGTCATCTTCCAAGGAGAAACTTCTAGATACTTATTTTAAGATAAATAAGGAACAAGTTATATTCTAAATGTGAATTATTTTTTAAATGCAATTTTTAAAACAAACTTTATTTGAATTATGGCAATAGACATGGAAAACAATCTTTTTTGATAGTAGGGGAAAGCAGAAGAAACACTGAATTAAGTACACAGAGATTCTTCAGGCCTGCTTTAAAAACACATGCATACAAATGCACTTCTGTCTCTTAGGATCTACTAACTGATGCTGCTTGCTTTAGTCTTTTAGCTAATATTTCTTTTCTTTTCTTTTTTCTTTCTTTCTTTCTTTCTTTCTTTCTTTCTTTCTTTCTTTCTGTCTGTCTGTCTGTCTGTCTTTCTGTCTTTCTGTGTTTCTGTCTTTCTTTCTTTCTTTTTGACAGAGTCTTGCTCTGTTGCCAGGCTGGAGTGCAGTGGCACAATCTTGGCTCACTGCAACCTCCGCCTCCCGGATTCAAGCGATTCTCCTGCCTCAGCCTCCTGAGTAGTTGGGACTACAGGCATGGGCCACCACGCCCAGCTAATTTTTGTATATTTAGTAGAGACGGGGTTTCACCGTGTTGGCTGGGATGTTCTCTGTCTCTTGACCTCGTGATCTGCCTGCCTTGGCCTCCCAAAGTGCTGGGATTACAGGTGTGAGCCACTGCGCCCGGCCAATATTTTCTTTATATGTCAAAACAATTCAGTTTGCTTCACTTTTATGAAAGGTTTATTATGAGTTTGAAAGCAATTCTCCCTTTTCTTAACTTTGTAACTGGTGTTGAGTAGAAGGCAGGTCCCTGGGGGCCCTTTGTGCGTAATTCCCTTTACTCTGGAGGCTGCCTCGAGCCTGGACAGGCCCTTACACTTGGTCAGTGATTGCACAGAACCAATTGCAACAGGTAAGGCGCCTCCCTGTGGCGCATAGCATTTCACAGGCACTTGGTCACTATTTGCTGAGTGAGTCTGTTACCTTAGGTGTGTATTTCCCGTGGACCTGCCAGGGGATCATTACTCATTCACTCATTTTGAACAAGCCAATAGTACATGTCCAGGGTATGCTCTGTAGTGTGAAACACAAAGGTAAATGATAGTTTCCCTTCTCAAAGGAATTTCTAAGCTAGTAGCCATTCTTTTGATACATATTCTCATTCTCATAGAATTAAAATTATGGATAATTGGACAAAGCTGAATGTCGCTCTAATCAGAATCCATTCTTTTTCTTTCATGCCTTGAAAAATGTGTAGCATTCCTTAGTGAATTAGGATTTCATTATTCAAAGAAGACAGTAAGGTCTTCGAACAGCAGATTGCTGAATAAAATAATGCCTAATAGCAATAGAATGAGGGGAAGACATAGTTAAGGAACATGTTATGCCCATTAGACTGGCAGAAATTTTTAAAATGTGACAATACCTTATAAAGGTGAACTTTCCTATACTGATACTGAGAATATGAATTGGTACCATTCAGGGGAGAGAAGCTTGATAGTATCTGGTGTAGCTGAAGAGGCACAGTCCCTGTGACCCAGTGAGGACATTCCTCATTATTTCCCTTGCCAAATATTTCACGTGAGTCTGTAAGGAGCTCTGTACAAGAGAGGTCACTGCAGCCTCCTTTGTAAAAGCAAGAAAAAAAAAGCAAATAAGTGTTTAACAATAGGAACATGGATAAATTAGGTTATACAGTGAAAATGTGCACTCTGGCTAAAGTGAGTGAATCAGAAAACATTTGTCAGCAGGAGTAAATCTCAAAAATAGTATTGCAAGAAGGAAGCTAATTTACAGAAGGATGTATGCAGTATGACACCTTTCATTTAGTTTCAACTACATATCTTTTATGGACACATACATACATATAAAAGTAGAAAACATGAATTGATAGGATAAACACCAAATATTTCTGCATATGGCCAGACGTGGGGAAGTAGTGGTGATTAAGCTTCAAAGATGTCTGTAGTGGTTCCCATTAAAAGTAGGAAGTAGGCTGGGCACAGTGGCTCATACCTGTAATTCCAGCACTTTGGGAGGCCAAGGCAGGTGGATCGCTTAAGGCCAGGAGTTGGAGACCAGCCCGACCAACATGGCGAAACCGCATCTCTACAAAAAATACAAAAATTAGCCGGATGTGGTGGCGCACACCTGTAGTCCCAGCTACTCGGGAGGCTGAGGCATGAGAATTGCTTGAGCTCAGGAGGTGGAGGTTGCAGTGAGCCAAGATCGTACCACTGCACTCCAGCCTGGGCGACAGAGTGAGACTCCATCTCAAAAA